TAGAATATAATGACGAAAGCAGCAAAGATCCTGAGTTTTTACCTTCTACAAGTTCTACAAATGTCTTAGAAAATGCTTTGTTGATGAATGCATCCATCTACGTTTTTGTTTAACAACGATAGCTTGCGACGGAAAACTTCCTCGAATGACCAACGCAATTTTACAGGTTATAAGAAACAAAGAACTGGAAACTAATATAACTATTTTTCAATGAGTTGTCAAATAAAGCACAGTCATCATTATTCGATAGAATGAATTCAATATGTCTGAAGATCAAGTAATAGCTTTAAATGGATTATTTTGGAAGAATATTTAGGCTCTAATGTTATTTCTAGTTAAATCTTTTTTTATATTGATTCTTTTATTTATGTGTATTATTTCTTTTTTTATATATGTTATTGTACTGATGCTTTCTTGGGAGAGCGTATTGGAAGACTGTAAAGCCCATCCAGTTGATGTAATAAATAAATAAATATATTAAATCTTATTTACATCTATGCATGATACAAGTATACGTTCTGTCATTCAATCTTTAATTATATATTTTGTTAAACTGAAGACCCAAAACTTAAACCAAAGAGTTGCAAGTACTTTTGGTTTACCTTGCGACCAACAAGTCTCAGAATTTTTCACACAAATAATAACAGGTTTTGAAAAAGACATTTTACCGTACTACTTTGGATATGGCGCTGTTTCTCGACAACTCATAGCGAACAATAGTAATAATGCAAAAAAAAAAAAAAATAATTTTGATAAAAATCAGCTTATATTGATTGTTGACGGTATGTGCGTACATATATACGACACCAAATACTAAGAATTTTTAAAGGAAATCATACTCAGGACAAAAACAGATACATCTTTGTAAACCTTTCACGATATGTACCACAAATGGTTTTGTCGTTGATTTTGCTGAACCTTTTTACGATACCCTAAACGATGTTGTAATTATGAAAATTATTTGAGAGGATTATTCAGACTTAAAAAACTTCTGTTACCTACTGATATATTCATTGTCGACCGCGGATTTAGAGATGTCATAGAATTTTTGAATCAAGAGGGTTTCAATGTTTTGATGCCAGTTTTTAAAGGTATTAAACTTTCACTGAGTACAGAAGAAACTAATGTATTGAGAAAGATAACGAAAACTAAATGGGTGGTAGAAGCTGTTCAGGTAATATTGCTCAAAAGTATAAACTTTTACATCATTCTCCCGATAATAAAATGTTGCCAAAATTGGACCGCTTAAGTAAAATTATTGGTTTTCTGCCCAACACTTATGAAAAAAGACGTGGTTCAGATGGTGGATTAAATTATAGTACAATATATGAAAAGTAGACTAGACGTAGAAAATATTTCGAGTTCAGAGGTGCAAAACCAGCGTTGGAGCAGAAAAATAACTATGCTATTTACCTTCAACAGCATCTGAACTGCTCGATTTTCAACGTTTAACTGAAGATCAGCTCAAGATTTTATTCACAGGATAGTAAAAGTTAAGATGTATTTAACATCAAGGAAGAATAATAATAGATGGCCGTTGACACTCTTTTTTCGTCTTATAGATATTGCTGGAATAAATGCTATGGTAATATTGACGGCAAATAATGTGATTATACAAAAAAACGTAAATGTATTTACGTACTATAGGCATTGAATTGACAAAAGAGTACGTCCAAAGAAGAGTAACGATAATAAACCTTCCAAGAAAACTGAAGAGAAACATGATTGAACATTTGAATATGAATGTTGAAGATGTTGCTGGTAATGAAGCGAGCACTAGTTCCAGCATATGCAAAATATGTCGAGTAAAAAAAGGAGACAATCGAAGACATAATGCACATCTTGTCAGAGAAATATTTGCAGAAGCTACACTTAATGAATTTGCAAATGTTGTCTTGATAAAGAAAATATACTCAATAAAAGTAGATTTATTTTTACTATTGTCATTTTAAATGTTTTTACCAGTTTAATGTACTTACACTAATAGGTTTCGAGTTAGTAAATGGCCGTTTAATCCAAAGAATATTTGAGTTGTGTTATTTGAGTTTAAACATAATAATAATGCATCAGAGTACTAAAAATAAATGATTATTGACTTATTATTGTTTTAACTCTCTAATATATAAGACAGATTTTTTCGATTACGCGCAACCGCTACTGTTACAAACGACTGCATGCCTGCTTAAAGGTTAACTTACAAGCTTTTGAATTAGTTCGGGAGCATGCAGTTGTTTTTTTAAGCTTACCAACACACACAATTTCAAATTATACATGATAAGAATATGGCTATTATAATTTCTAGATACTAAAATAATTGTTGATAGATGAATAGACAATACTGATAATGACTTCCAAAACCAGGACCCTAATTTCATGGAAACCAAAGTTTTGGAAGCAAATACTTCACATACAATGAATGCATCCTCTGGTATTGAAACCAAAACAATTAATGAGCCTCTAATTCATGATATCTCAGAAAATACCTTTGTAAAGGAAAATGGGTTCAATAAGACAATGATCACTTTAAACCTCACTTCATTTACGGGTATGAATACTTCATTACTATCACTGTTATGATCTCTTATTTCTTACAAATTCATCGATTATAAAATAAAAACATATTTTTTTTTCAAGATTCTTTGGACATCGCTAATGTCGAGACATAGATAGACAATAATCCAAATAATATTTTAGAAGCTATGGATATACCTACAATAATGAAAACCACAGGTATATATATATGGCGGCCAGTCATTACTTTTCTTATAAAGTCGTATGCCATGGTTATTAGTTATTTTACATGAGAAACATAGGCAATGGACAGGCAGGACCAATTGGATTTATTGTGTTATATCCCATACTATTCTATACATCAAAATGTCTTATGGCGTGCTGGGTTGTGCTGCTATGTACCTGAATTGAGCTGCTCTTTAAGAAAATGGTTCGATAACGAAATTCTTTTTTTAGATTATACAAAGGATGCAGATTCCTCAAATAATGGAGATTTTTCGCCATCGGATGGATCACAACATAAGCTTCCACGCTGTACAAGGAAGTCTAAAAATTCTAGTAGATCCTCCAGTTCGTCCAGCTCTTCTAGCTCTGGCAGCAGCTCATCGAGTTCAGATATTAGTTCATAATATGGTCGATGCGGAAATCAATAAAAGTAATACGAAACCAGACCCAACTTTGAGCTTGGAGATGCATAGATAATGTGGAGTCAGAATTAAAGAGCAGCTTAAGTTGCTTTCGAAAATAATTTGTATATCTCAATGTGTGAGGTTGATCATAGAGGACTTTTATTACCATCTATTGTTATATACCTATGTATCACAAAATAAATAAATGAAATTAAACAAGCCAACGATTAGAATGGCAATCATAAAATTACATGCAATAACTGGCATCAAAACGACTTTGATTAAATTTACAAAAGACCTATATATTTTTTCCTAGCGGATCTAATTCAGTTGAAGATGATACTAATACCACATGTTTCGAGTCCTAACTGGAACTGAGATGGCAGATTATTGCAGAGGGCAGTCACAGCCACTGTTAGCAATATCAAAACTTGCACAAACAGAGGATTAAAAAAAAAAAAAAAAAACAGTTACTTGACTAAACTGGTAAAAACACCAAACTTTAAAAATTTATACAAAGCTATGAGTATCTAAACCCAACATTGCCAGAAAATCAACAAGTTTTCTCGCTGTCTGGAAACATTGTGATTTTTAACATCAAAAATTCATTTTAACACCATCTAATGATAAGGAATTGTTTGTAATGGATATTTTTTTTAAGTGAAAAAGGAATGGTAACCCTTCCTGTGATATCAATTTACACTGGCTAAGGACCAATGAGATGATTGGTGAGGATGAAAGCAGATTAGTTGGCCCATCGTCACGAATTCATCACAAAATATATCAAAAATTGTATCCAGGTGGGACCGCGTGGAAGTCGACCTGATAGTGCATTTACTACCCCTTTATTAATATTCCCCTTCTCCGGGGAGGGATTATGGCATCCCCATTACTAGCTAGGTCAACCTCTGCGCCGTCCCCTTGGTGTTTCCAGGGACTTAGCGACGAGGGGCAAACTGATTTGTTTTCATCTTCCACTGGTGCCACGGTATCGTGTCACCTCTTTTCTTAGATGAAGATGGAATGGAGAGTTTTTTTTCAAAGCGTGATAATGGAACGGTAACCCCACCGGCGTTATCGATGTAAACCGACGGGACACCAGGATGACAGGAGGATGATAGGTCAGTTAGATCGTGACGAATTCAACAAGAATAATTAATGCTTTTAGCATTAAGTCCGCCATGTACAGATATTTGTACTAATGAATAAATAAATAAAACAAAAAAATATTTACGATGGTTTCCAGGGGGAACCACGTGGAGGTTGACCTAATAGGGATATTGCTAGCGATAGGGCTGTCATACTCTATTGCTAACAATCCTTTCCCTCCCGGAATGGAGACTTGAACACACAAAGGCGGGTGTACATCCATTAAAAGGGGTAAATATACAGGTACCAGTGGTGCTGTTGCCGTGTGATCCAGGCATAGAATAGGCCACCCCTTCCTTTCGCATGGGTGTCGTAAGAGGCGATTAAGGGAACCTAATGGTCGAGGAATGAACAGCAGCGTCCCTTTTAAAACATCACAAAAACTACAAAACTTAACTACGGTTGCCAAATTGCCTACCAGTATGGTAACTACTGGCTAAATCTTCCTTTTTGGAGGCCTATGGACAATGGACAGTAGACGGGTGATATAATTATGATGATGATGATATAGGTACCAGAGCAGATCTAAATAGAAATCTAAGTATGATAAATCGTGTTCTATCTGAGGTCTGAGCCAAGTCTTCGAAACAGCAGTGCATTGAGATACTATAAAAACGCATGAAGCAAGAAATGGATGGAGCTTTTGGTTCTCTCTGTCTACCCTGGAAGGAATTTGCCGTTAAAGTATGAAAAAAAAAGAAACCTAATATGTTATTCACAGTTCATACAAAATATTTATTATGTCAATCATATATTTTTCTTTAAAAAAAAAAAAATTCCTATGTGCAACCAACTTAACTGTGAAGCGGCAAAAAGTGGAACCCCGTCCGCCATATTGGTAGTAGTTCTAAGGACTTATAGTCTAAATTAAAATATTTTTTTATTACAATACCAATATATAACAGGGAAAATAGTAATTTTACTATATATAATACATTACACACACACACACACACACACACACACACACATTTGCATTTTATATTATGCATAATAATTTTTTTTTTTTTTTATTTAAGTCCAGTCTCAATTTATAAAAGGCATTACTTAGATATAGTGTGTTAAGTAACATAATCTATTTCTTAATACTAGTATTAGTGTTCATTTTTTTTTTATGGGTGAAAATGGTATGGTAACCCCGTCTGCGCTAACGGGATACGCTGGTGGAGCACCAGTGAAGGGTGATAGATGAAAATAAAAACAGGCCAGTTAGCCCATCATGATGAATTCATCAGGAATTAACCATGATAGTTTCCAGGGAGAACCGCGAGGAGGTCGACCTGGTTGGGTATATTGCTAGCAATGGGATTCTCAGTCTCCATTACTAACAATCCCTTTCCCCCTTTAGTGTTCATTATTTGGGTCAGAAAATTTTCTTTTTCCTAGGATTTAAAAAGACAAATTGAATTTTTTGAAAAAAGAACATCTGTATAAACAGCACTACACACTATAAGGAATGTGGGGGTAAGGGATTGTTAGTAATGGGATGTAATATAATTGTTTATCTAGAAAAAAAAAAATCTCCGATCGTATTAATGAATAGTAACACCAGTTTTAAAGATTAGAACACGTTAATTAACATACTGTATATAGATAAATCGGTTTACTTTACACATATAGTAATACAAACATATTGTATAATTGAAATAAAATAATTCATGTACCATACATATAATGTCGAACGTAATATGATATGTTTCAACAAAATCTAATGAAAATGTACCTTAACAAGTTTTCTTGATATGGGATTGACATGTTAAAAAAACAAAAATCCCAAATTAAATGTAGATTAAAAAAAAATTTTACTGACACACTTTACGAAGGAAATTATGCAATTATAAATTAATTATTATGAAATTATAAATGCAAACCATTAAATTAATTAACAAATTATTGATTTGCACTATTATTGGACATTAGCAGACTGGCTTATAGACAAATAAATTATTGGTTTGTTTACATTTTCATTAAATTGTGTTGAAATAGATTATTATTAATTGAAGATTGTGTTTCACAAAAAAAAAACACACTTCAATTCTGACGAAAACAGTTATTTTTATCTAAAAACTAAACTGCTGAACCGATTTTGATAAAATTTCTATGGGACCACTCTGTAAGTATATCCTTCAGATAAAAAAAATATATATATATAAATAAACTAGCGACCCGCCCAGGCTTCGCACGGGTGCAATGTTGATACTAAATATACCTACCTAGATAGACATATACCATTGCGGACTTTTTTGTTGACCTTTTTAAGGTGTAGAATACTGTAGTACATTATTTTGATTTATCTCGTGGGGTTCAGCCAGCGTTTGCAATGTAAACGCAAAAAAATGTGTTTATTTACGACATCACATTAGAAACCTCTTTTATCAGTGTTTCTCTACAATATTATGCATGTATTATACAGATAAACCTTCCTCTTGAATCACTCTAACTATTAAAAAAAAACCGCTTCGAAATCCGTTTCGTAGTTTTGAAGATTTAAGCATATACAGGGACGGACAGACAGCGACAGCGACTTTATTTTATACTATGTAGTGATTTAGAACTGACAGAGTTATGAGGAAAAAAAAAAAAAACAAAAAAATACACCAGAACTGAGAACCTTCTTTTTGAAGTCAATTAAAAAATTAAGACATTTTCTATAAGCAACGTGGCTGCCTATCTAGCATACAGTCCGCCTGATGGTGAGGGGTGACGGCAACTAGTTACATTAGAGGTATCATCTCTCACGCATTACCGATGATCCTTCTTAACAAGCAGCAAACGAATTCAATTATTATCTCTCGTATGAGAAAGAACAAGACGATGGATGTTTCTGTCTCGTTCTATCTCATGCACGTGGTAGCGATAACGTTTCTAACGACAGAATAGCCATATATCTAGTAGAGCTCATAAATTGTATTACCAGTAATTTTAAGCAACCATGCTATTAAGGGATTGGTGAGACAAAGGTAGCCTGGTAGATAAAAATAAATAAATATCATTGGATATATCACATAGCGCCAAATTAAGCAGAGTTTATGACTGTACAAAGTCGCCATCTCGTGTTATATTTGCATACTACGTTTCAGCATTTAAACTAGCTATGGCCATTTTTAGAGCGCCCTCTTTGGACACATTGCCTCCAATAAACCCTGTGCTGTGACAGAAGATGCAGCCTTCGATTTGAGCGACATTACTCAAAATGTCATCACGTACACCCCACCAACTTTTGCAGAGAGGTTTTCTGGAAATAAAAAAAAATATATATATTTAGGTTTTTTGTTTGTGTCATCAAAAGTAATATGCCTCAGTAATATACAGCTATTAGGTCGACCTTCACGTGGTTTCCCTTGTAAACCATCGTGAACAATTCTTGTCGAGTTCGTCACGATGGGCTAACTGACCTACTTTATTCTCATCTATCACCCTTCACTGGTGCCCCGCCGGTGTATACCGATACGCGCGGGTGGGGTTACCATTCCATTATCATCCATTAAAAAAAAAAAAAACAGAAGGTGCTACTCAATTCTGCTGTAATTTTTTTCTGTTTATTATAACGCATATAATTGCGTGTGCAGAATTGCGTGTTAAGCGTTTTTTTTTTTGATGGGTGAAAATGGTATGGTAACCCCACCTGCGCTAACGGGATACGCTGGCGGAGCACCAGTGAAGGGAGATGATGAGAATGAAAACAGGCCAGTTAGCCCATCATGATGAGAAATTAACCTAGATAGGAGTATCTAGGGAGAACAGTGGAGGTCGACCTGGTTGGGTATATTGCTAGCAATGGGATTATCAGTCTCCATTACTAACAATCCCTTTCCCCCCGCGTGCTATGCGTTATAAAGCCATCCAACAAATTTTTATACATCTACAAATTGGCCCCATAGAAATTTTATCAAAATCGGTTCTATAGTTTAGATTTTAAATCAAAATAACAGGTTTTACCATTCTTGAATTCTATTTTTTTTTGTTATGTAATACAATCTTATTTATATAGAGAAATGTTTATAAAAGTGCTAAGAAACCTTAGTATCACCCTTATAATATCCTTATTTTGATTACTTACACATAGATATAAATAAATAAATAATAAATAAATAAAATAAAAATATTTTTTTCAAGTAAACTCAATAATAAGCATTTTTGAATAATCATTTTTTATGAACATACCGCTCAGTTCGGAATGCAATTTCAGCTGAGAAGAACGGACAAGAAACACAGCTGTTGCTTTTTTCAAATAAAAGTTATATATTTTTTTATACAACTTAGAATGGCAAACAAGCTGACGGTCCACCTGATGGAAAGTGGTAACCGTCGCCTATAGACATGAGCAGTACCATGGACATAACAGAGTATACTGTTTCGCCCATGATACCCCCATGCGTTGCCATTCCTGAGGACTCAGGTGTTATTCCTCTGTACCCAGTAAATTCAGTTAAGTGTGGAAAAAAAAATATGACTGGATAAAATTACTATCACAAACTTTGTATTGATAAAAGAAAGAAAAAGCTACTTTCTCAATTATACATCTAATTAATATATTAAAAACTAACCTGAGTATAAAACTTGTGGGGCTAACTGGCACCGCCTGGACCCTCCACGACCGAGGCTTGTCATTGAACAAAACATACTTGATTTCATGGCCAAGTTCCATCTCGGTTTCCAAATCAAACAGATGCTCTTTCCACGGAAACCTTTCTGTGAACTCTACTATCTGACCTGAACTGTGGACCTCAAATCGTTTGTCTATGGCTGATTTGACATAATCCCGTGCCGGTAGCCAGACGGAAATAAAAAAATTAACAATATGTAGTAATTCCTCGCTCACTAGCACCATGGCTTTTTTAAATACTTCATTAATATCAATCTGCTGGTTACTATTCCATTCGGGATTCAAACGGCCTACTCTAGCACTTAAATGCGTGCGGATTTTGTATTTCGGCTCTTCCTCAGTCATAGGCACTCCATTGTCTATGGCATCTATTTCCTCTATTAAGTTTTCGTAAACTTTTTTATAAATAATACTCAAGTCAGATGGGCTTAATGGGGTTTCTTTTGGTGCTAATTCTCGTAATAACTGCTCTCCATAATATGCATACACCAGGCCAGCTGAGCTTAATCTGAAACAAAATATTGTAGCAATCTTTAAAATCCCTGACATTATAATTGAATTTGTTTATTTGTTACCTCTTAATGTCTTAACAAATTATCATGAAATTATATACCAGAGGGAGACTGTATAAAAGTCGATTGCTTGGGTACCTCTGTCACATTCGTGTTTCAACCGTGAAGCAGTTGTGTTTGCATGGCTGTGTTTCGGTTTGAAGGGTGGGATATAGCCGTGAATTTACTGGGTATGAAGGAATAACACCTGAGTCCTCAGGAATGGCAACGCATGGGGGGTATCATGGGCGAAACAGTATACTCTGTTATGTTCATGGTACTGCTCATGTCTATAGGCGATGGTTACCACTTTCCATCAGATGGGCTGTCAGCTTATTTGCCATTCTAAGTTGTATAAATAAAATATATAACCTATGTTACTTTTTTTGCTGATAATGTAACTTTCTATAGTAGATTTTTTTTTAAATTGTTGGAGGGTGGAAAAGATTGTCTAAAAGGGCTTTTATATCTAAAAATGTAATCTCACTTATTGTCCTTGGGGTTGATAGCACCAAAAAAAAAGAAAGATAAGTGGAAAAATTAAACAAATCAAGATTATATATCCCTAGCAAATTTGTTTTATTATCATCCGACTTTACTTCATTTGTTTCTAAACAAAATTCAAACCATAAATGTAGCTTTCCCAACAGCCATGTGCTACAAATTCATTGAACTTGAACTGTGAACTGTTAATCACACAGAGTACCAGTCCTATTGCTAGCAATATACCCTGGCAGGTCGACCTCCATGTGGTCCCCCCTGGGAACTATTGTGCTGAATTCCAGGTGTATTCATAATGATGGACTAACTGACCTGCTTCTTCATCCTCATTTATCATCCCTCACTGGTACCCCACCAGCATATACCAATAACGCAGGAAGAGTTACCATTTCATTATCATCTATTAAAACTTGGCCTCTTTTCCTCTTTATATCCCATGGATATTAAACTGCAACCGATGACTTCCACTTAATATGCAATATACTTACTTTATATTATATTTGTCTCCAAGTGCAGGTTTCAAAGAACTTAGAGTTTCATTGAATTCCCTCTGATGGTGGTCATACCGCTTCTTCTCATGGTCAAAAACTGCCCCAACATCCACAACAATGTCACATTCTTTTAATTTCTCCAGGTCCCTTGTTCGAACAATCTCGGCATCTTTGTATTGAGGCAGCCTCTTGAGCATATAGCAAGCAAGTACTTCATCACAGTGAAACACACCATCATGGGTTCCAATCTATAGTGGAAAAATAATAAATAAGTACTATTACTATGTATTTTTAGATTTTTTTAAGTTTCGCCCATGACGCCTCCTATGCGTTGCCATTCCTGAGGACTCAGATGTTATTTCTCTGTACCTTGTAAATTCACTGGCATATACCACTCTTCAAAACGGACATGCCACACACAGCCCTGCAAACACAACTGCTTCAAGGTAGAAGCGAATGGGACAGAGGTGCCCAAGCAAACGACTTTTGTACAAAGTCTCCCTCCAGTAAATCTGATTGTGGTGCTCTTAATGTCAGTAGGTAAGTTATAGCTTCTAAAAAGAAAGCATATATGTATTCCCAGACATAACTCTACAAAGCGTTACTTGGATTCTAGAGTGTGCAAAAGAATTCTGAGGTGTGCTTGGCTCACACGTCTCCCTTCTAACTATGCTAATGCCTATGGTTATATGTCAGCCTCTTGGTTATGCCAGCTTCACCTATCATTCCTCACTGGTGCCCCGCCTGTGTATACCGATAGCGCAGGCGGGGTTACCATTCCATTGTCATCCATTAAAAAAAAAGCTTGTTGCTCATAATTCATGATTTAGTTCAACAAAATAATAATTAAATAACGGACAGTGCACGTGGCTATTGCACTTTGCCGACAAATTAGGTTATTTTTATTTATTAAAAAATAAAAAAATGATATCTCACATAACTAGCGTTTGTTCATTTTATAAAAGTAAAGGGCAACAAAAATATACAAAAATCTAACCTTCATGTTATTAAAAAATCCACTAAAAAGTCGAATTCCAGAGAATTTTTGGCGTTTTGTAGAGGTGTGGTAAACAAATGTGTACACTTTATTAATTTGTTTAAAAAACATTAGATAACAAATTTTATGCAAATATTAAATAACATTTAGATTATGAAGTTGTAAAATACATATTAATAAATAAAATTATTTGTAAAATATAATAAAACATATAATAAGAATGCTAGAAAGAGACATATAAGCTATAGAGTAGTGATGTGTCGATTAACATTGAATCGAGTATTTAATTAAACAGATAATCGAGTATACGATTACTCATACATATAATTAAAATGCATGATAGTAGAATATAAGTTTCGAGTACTTACGGTACTTGAATACTAGTCGCGTGTTTATCATATTTTTTCAGATTCTGTTTTATTATTTTATTAATATTTTTCTTATCTAAGTGGGTACCAGATGAAAAATTATTACATTACTGAATATGTATTATCTCCATTAAAAATAAGCTTCAGAAGATGGATATCCATAAAAATTTTTAATAAGTACGATTATTTTTTTAATTAGTGTAAAAATTCTTGACTGACAGAAATACCTAACTCGGTCATTACTATAGATTACCGTTAGTGAAGTGTCAAATATGGTGACGAGATTACTGAGTATGATACTCGGATACTTAATAATTTAATAGGTTCTCGAATATTTGATTATTACTAATTAATTGATTATATATTTTATAAATTTATATATATGATCAGGCTGTTATTTAAGTAACAATTTTTACTTCATCTATATGTAATAGACTAGTATAATAGACTAATATAATCAATAGGAATGTACAGTAAAAGTACTATTTGTATACGTATATTCATTTTTTAAACTACTATGAGTATATAAAAAAATATAAAATTGTATAAACCTACTTCTATAGCTTCTATAGCACAGGAAAAAATATTACGTATTGTAAAAAGATAATTAAGATTTTTAAAATTATTTTAAATTTGTTTAGAGACACATAATACAAAAAAAAGAAATTCAGTCAATTTAACAGCTTCGTCCTTTTGAAAATTGGTAAAAATATTTTAAAATAAGCTTATAAATAGCGAAAATATTGCTTAACACAAAACATAATTACTGATTATTTGTGAATTATAATACTATACTCTCAAAAAATAGTGGTGTTTGACTTTTACCACCTCAAGGACTGAATTTAAAAAACCGAAGACAAAAGAAGAAAAAAAAGAAGGTTTGATAGTTTTATTTACCTATCGATTAATTATGTAGAATATACTATAATAATCGATTAGTAAGTACTTCACTTGAGAGATTCTCCTGTTGTAAAGAATTACACTAGATGGCACTGTTTCTGAAATAAGTTCAATGATTACGTTCTTATATGAAAATTAATTGCTATTTATAAACTTTTTAAAATTAAAAGTTTATAGTAAATTTAAAAAAAAAAACATATAAATTATTCTAATTTATAAAAAATAATTATATTCTCTAAACCTTATCATCATGATATAAAATAATGTCATTAGAATGAGATAAGCCCATAATCGAAAAAGAGTAAATTCAAAGAACACTTTAGATTGTTTAAAAATTGTATTTATTTAATATAACTTCCAATGTTTATAATTTATTACAAATAACTTAAATATCGTGACAGTTCAACTAGATGGCGGTAATGGTACCGCCATAAGTCGCTGTAAGCAAGTAAATAAGCTCGGGCTTTTAGCATCCATTTACTTATTTAAAAGTTAAATAATTACTAACTTTTTGTCCGTTTCTTTGTACGTATGGATTCCAGAAGTTAGAAAACCAATGAAACAGACCACATCTAGATAGCTTATTTTGATATAACATATGCTAGTTTCTAAGTAAGATCTTCAGGAACACAAGTGTGGAGGATACCTCTGTCCTATTCGTGTTTCAACCGTAAAGCAGTTGTGTTTGCATAACTGTGTTTCGGTTTGAAGGGTGGGATATGGCGTGAATTTACACGGTACAGAGGAATAACACCTGAGTCTTCAGGAATGGCAACGCATGAGGGGTATCATAGGCGAAACAGTACACTCTGTTATGTCCATAACACTGCTTGTGTCTATAGGCGACAGTTTTTTTTTTTTGGTGGATGAAAATGGAATGGTAACCCCGCCTGCGCTGATGGGATACGCTGGCGGAGCACCAGTGAAGGGTGATCGATGAGAATGAAAACAGGCCAGTGAGCCCATCATGATGAATTCATCAGGAATTAACCATGATAGTTTCAAGGGGGAACCATGAGGAGGTCGACCTGGTTGGGTATATTGCTAGCAATGGGATTTTTAGTCTCCATTACTAAGAATCCCTTTCCCCCCTTGATGACGGAATTACCATTTCATCTCACCCATTCAAAAAATCACTGTCTTCTGTCTCATATACCGGGTAACAGTTACATATCTATCGGTCCATTTATTTGCCAATTAACTAGGGGCACCCGCGGTTTTGTCTATAATACTTTTTCAATCCTCCTCACTTATCGCCACATACCTCCTAAATTGCATCTACGTTGATATTTCTCTTCATATAGATTTGTTGGTTTCGGATATGTCTAATTCGACCTCTCTTTAGAATAACTACAATTTAGTCGCTAGAAGTCGGATGAGAGTGTCCTCGACCGAGTTACCCACTTACTTCCCCCTGTAGATTCGCTTACATAGCCATCTACCAGACTTAGATGGGAATAGATAACGCCACCACATTGTGGAAGGCAAAAAATCTCAGCCTATGTAACCAGCATTTTGTTGCATTCTGTCCTTTGAATAAGTTATAAGTTTATTGTAAATAAAAGAATAATAATTCAGGATTGTGGTGGAATACGGAGGGGACATGGGGGCAAAGCTCCCCAATCCAACCAATAAAAAAATATTACCAACTTAAACGTACACTTGTTTGCCTGGCACTAGTGTTTTTATAAGCCACAAAAAATTGCTAATTTTTAAGTAAACATGTTTGATCGCTACTAGATAAATGCATGATAACTTCATAAAAAAAAAAAAACTGAAATTTCTTCATATTTTTCTTATACCACTATGGTGGCAAATAAGCATACGGCCTGTCTGATGGTAAACGGGATTACCGTAGCCAATGAACGAATGGGAATAGATAACGCCACCACATTGTGGAAGGCAAAAAATCTCAGCCTATGTAACCAGCATTTTGTTGCATTCTGTCCTTTTAAGTCCATTTTTTAAATAAAAGAATAAAATTCAGGATTGTGGTGGAATCAAACAATTTAATATAATCCAACCATTAAAAAAATATTACCAACTTAAAAATGTACACTTGTTTAATAACATACATATTTTTTTTATAATTCTTTAAAAAATTGCTAATTTTGAATTAAACATCTTTGATCGCTACTAGATAAATTGATGATAACTTTAAAAAAAAAAAAAAAACGCAAAATACATCAGTATTTTTTAATATACAACTATGGTGGCAAATAAGCATACGGCCTGTCTAATGGTAAACGGGATTACCGTAGCCTATGAACGTCTATATAGTCATGCTATATATTGATGATATTTTCTTTTTTGGAAAGCTAGAGGAGCTCTCCTTTTCCCTTTCATCCATTTGTTACGCGTAGATTTGGTAACAAACAATCTACATATAATCCAACCATTATAAAAATATTACTGTTAAAAAATGCTCAAAGTTTACTTGAATAACATACATATCTTCTTTTTTCATTTCTTTATGACATACAGGAACTCTGAATTAAAATCTCTTTCGAATTTAAATTTAAATTTAAAATAAAAAAGTTAAGACGCAAAATACATCAGTTACTACATCTGTTTAATATCCAATCTGTGGTAGGCGTTATCTATCATTAATCTCTCGTAAGACCAAAAAATCCTGCAAAATTCCTGCCTAAATTTGTAGTTATTAAAAATCTATTATAGATCATTTTTCCTTGTCCGTCCGTCCGTCTGTCTGTCAAGATCCTTTTTCTTAGGAACACCTTACCTTCACGTGTTGTTGAAATTAGTCAAATTATGCTCTTATTTTTTTTATTATGCACTAGCGGCCCGTCCCGGCTTCGCACAGGTGAACATTTTTACATTTTAAAAAGTGGCCATTAAGGCTGCACATGCGGCGGAAGCTTAAAAATCGAGTAACTTCTCCCGTTTTCCCAACATTTGCCTTCACTGCTCTGCTCCTATTGATCGTAGCGTGATGAAAAGTATACTATAACCTGCCTAGGAGTATGAAGAATAATTGTACCAAGTTTCGTTAAAATCCGTCGAGTAGTTTTTGTTTCTATAACGAACATACAGACAGACAGACAAAAATTTTACTGATTGCATTTTTAGCATCAGTATCGATCACTAATCACCCCCTGATAGTTATTTTGGAAATATATTTCATGTACAGAATTGACCTCTCTACTGATTTATTATAAGTATAGATTTATAGGAATTCTGCTTAAATTACTAAAATCTAACCTATATAATCTATGGATGGGATCCATTCTCCTCTTTTTTTTTTTACAACGCAGGGGCAAACGAGCATGCGGCTCACCTGATGGTAAGTGACTACCGTCGCCCATGATCACCCACAATACCAGCGGCATTGCAGGTGTGCTGCCGGCCTTTTAAAAAGGAATATACTCTTTTCTTGAAGGTTATGTTGAAGTATCGGTTCGGAAATACTGCTGTTGGATGTTGATTCCAAAGAATGGTTGTGCGTGGAAGAAAGTGCCTTGAAAAACGCACGGTGGAAGACCGCTACTCGCCCAGATGATTGGGATGAAACTTTAGTTTGGGTTATTGTCTAACTAACTCCTTGGGTTATTGTCTTTGATAATAATGAGTAGATATTTTGAAACGCAACTAATACGGAAGTACCAGAGGGAGACTTTGTATAACATAACAGAGTATACTGTTTCGCCCATGATACCCCCCATGCGTTGCCATTCCTGAGGACTCAGGTGTTATTCCTCTGTACCCAGTAAATTCACGCCATATCTCACCCTTCAAACCAGAACACAGCCACGCAAACACAACTGCTTCACGGTTGAAACACGAATAGGACAGAGGTACCCAAGCAATCGACTTTTGTACAAAGTCTCCCTCTGGTAGTCTGTACAAAGTCTCCTTCTTATTTATTACCTTCTATTGAGACTATAATAAAAAATATAATACAAAACAGTATTCACGTCCGTGTGGTCCCGGCATAGAATAGAGTCGGGTCTGTGGGTGTCG